TTTTCCATCCATCTATCATCTTCTGTAGCTCGTTAATACGCCGTGCACAGCAGTCCTCAGCACTGCCTAGCATCGCTAGTGCCACAGTGCGACAGGAACAAATCCCAGAATCGGGGGGACAAATCTCAGCAGCCCTCATCCTCTGAGAGTTGAGCATACGCCTCGCATACAAAAATTTTTGCCAAACATTCACAACAAATCACATCTCGCTTGAAAACTCTAATGTTTAAACCTAATCTTGCTAGCTTCATTCTGTTCTTTCCCGTCCCAAGACTCATACAGTGTTATTGCCTCATACTGCTCACAAAGGCTGGACACTGAGGTCTTCGAGCTTGATCTGGTCGTCCCAGGTTGGTTGCGAGTGAGGAACTCTGCGAATGATTCGCTTTCTTTTCCAGCCGGCAAGTAGACCTCAGCATTATACTCTATCTGCATTTCATAGAGTCGTTTACTTAATGCCATATGTGCAACGAGATTTCGCAAATGTGATTCTTTATATAGCTTCTTGTTAATAAGGTCTTGTAGGAATAGCATTTCGAATAGATACAGCTACTGGTATTTAAAGTCGAAGTTTATGTGAATAAAAGATAGGAAATCTAAAGACCTACTTTATCGCTCATGGAGTCAAAGTAGGGACTTCCAAGGGTACCAGAACTGAACCCTTATCCAGCAAACGTGACCAGATAACCGCAGTGTCTCGAAGCATTACAGTAACTTACTCTACTTCACAGCAAGTCCCCAATTTTGAAACCCTCGGCCATGAGGATAGCTGGGGTCTTAAGTCGGGCTCGCTTAGCGAACTCCGTTTGGGGACCAAATATGGCCCCCTTCAGCAAAATTTTTCAGGGAAGGAGGGAGGGGGGAGGGGGTGGGGGTCCAAAAATGAGCCACCCCGACAAATTATAAACTGAGTTCTGATACTAGATACATATTTAGAATCTGAATGTCTCTTATTTGAAGATTACAAAGTGTTCTATATTAATAAACTTGGCTTACACTAGATGATGCTGTGGCTTTCTGAAATTTTATCGCCCAGCCGAAACCCGCTCAGGAGAGCAATAAATCACGCTACTAAGGATGACGTACGCTATAAACAATATCAAGAGCACTTAACTGACATGTCGCACAGCTTGCCGCGCCAAAAACTAAACATGTCGCACGCATTCTGTCAGCCACACACGACGGTGAGCTCGGCGTCGCCGAGATATTTCGATCCTTGGACGGCCGTATGCTGGACTCAGCATGGACAACAGTATTCAAGTCACTCATTGTCATTCATACCATGATAAGAGAGGGACGGCAAAACACAACACTGAAGCATCTTGCCAGCAACCCGCATCAGTTATTGGCTATTAATGAAAAAGGTACCCTCGAAAGCTGAAAAAGGAGAAATAAGGCAGCCTTTTGCCGTTCTCGCAAGAGCAATTATCATAAAACAGTACTAACGTCAAGAAAAGTAAAGAGAAAAGATCAGAATCTGAAAACGTACGTTGAGTATCTCACGCAGCGCGCTAAATCATATTCAATATCCAAAATTGATCCTATAAGAGCAGACTCAGGGCATCTAGCCGCATTTGGCATTGGGTATGAGATGCTTCAGGAAATTGTGAGCATACAGGATATGATATCTACACTCTTAGCATGTGGAGTATGATCGCCATCCTTCACAGCGGACAGAATTGACACTAGAGTGTAGGTTTTGTTATCAGAACCGCAGGACGATATTTCCCTCGCGGCGTTCAGACTTCTAATCAAGGACCTCATTGTCATGTATCTTCTTATAAATGAAGGCATGATCATCATACTGCGTAAGTAACACTGGTACTTTAGACTATTTATATTGAGCACTTTAGGTCATTTTTCCGAGCTTTCAAGACCTGACGCCAAGAGGGCAGTGCACATATATCAAGTAAGCGTAGACCTTGCGAACGAAGTTGTGGGTTACTTCTCTGTAGCGGCGAGGTATAAAAATGTATCATTGGGGATGCCAAA